GCATCATGGTTTCAATTAATGTCCCAATTAGTAGCATATGCAATCATTTTAATACAGTATCATTTAACTATATATTAAGTATAATTTTTTGAAATCGTTTATAATTTTATAAAATTATTTTTGAACATAATTTTACAATTATTAATTTTAACATGCGTAAATACTTTTTATAAATAAATTCCTGTATTTTTAGAGCTTTTTCAATTAAGAAAATTTTTACCAAATAATAAAAGCGTTTGGGTAATACCAATTATGTGTGAATCGATATTTTAAAAACCAAACAAAGAAGGTTGCTTCTCCCGTTTGGGCCCTATAGTCATGCAGACAAATAGACCAAGAAACAGACAGACAGACAAACAGACATACATTCAGACAGACGTCTCGACACACTGAAGGCTGGATTGTGTAACAATATAATAAGGAATCAGAATATATATATAATTGGGTCCTCGACAAATGAATTTGTATCTCGATGTGTTACAAATGCAAATTTCCAATATTTCTTAATGAAATTTTTAACAAAATTTCAATTTTTATAAAAATTTATATTTTTTCAAGATTTTCTCGCCTTTAACTTTGAAGCACTGTGTAAAATATAGTTTGCGAATGTCACTCAAGCAATATTTAACATTCCTGCAAACAAACCCCCTCCTAATTATAACGAAAACATAATTTATTAAAAAGAACTACTTAAATATTTCATCGATAATATTATCGTAAAATCTTTTTTAACTTCTATTAACACAACAACTATTATTAAAAATTTCACCTCAGTATGTAACAAATATTAAAAGCATAAGCTTCGTAAAAAGAAAATATTTAAAGGATGTAATTTAAAATGTTTTTAATAAAAGAATTTTACAAGAAATTTTATCAATGTTACCCCATCTTTATTGGGGCACCATCATATCTGTATGAGTACGATTGGAACACATACTTATCATCAAGCCATACTAACACGTCTTATTGCTGGACTATCAAATATTTTTTGTTTATTTCTGCTGGTATATTTCGGTCATAAGAGCATGGAAATGTTTGAGACAGCATCGCATTTACATCCACTTATAAAATCTGTTACCCGTTTAAATCTGATAGTGCGGAAGTGGCGAGATAACAAAGATATTCAATTGAATGCTCAATTAACAAGTCTTTAAAGGAAGTATTACGAAATATATTATTGCAATAGAGAAATCGATAAACGTTTCCAGCACTGTTGTCAACATTGCAACAATTCGTTGTCGCAATCTAAATTTTATGCACATTCGTTGTCTAAAAGTTAACAAACGTGGTAAGCTCAAAATCCGTTGTCAATAGTGAGCTTACCACGTTTGTAAACTTTTAGACAACGGATGTGCATAAAATTTAGATTGCAACAACGAATTGTTGCAATGTTGACAACGTTGCGTGGTCAACATTAGATGTTCTTGTATATACATGACAACGGATGTTATTGAAAAATTTGATGGTACCAGGCGTGTATATTTTTTCCCCTCTGTGTAGGAACTTTGAAATGGTGGCGTTGGGTTCTGATAATTTGTAATGTCACTATTATGAATATGATGGTAGTAGTAATGTTTGGATTTTTCATAATGCTTTGGAATATTTGTCGCCTATTGCAACATCTGAACTACCAATTGGGCACTATTTATCAGAAAGCAGAAAAGCCCCGCCCAGATCATAAACTATTGGACCAGGAAATTGAATTGAATTTTGGAAACTCATGCTGAATTGAGTGACATTTTACTATCAAACTGATAAATTCAACCTAATACTAGGTGGTATTTCCTATTTGATTGAGTCAATAGACTTATATGTAAAGGATTTAATGCGTGACATGATTAACGAGAGTTTCAAACAATTAATAATCATGCTACAAATGTTTAATGAAAAGACATCGCTGAACGGAGAGGTAATTAAATACATACAAAAATAATAATCTGATTATAGCTATTGTCTGGACTAGAGACTATAGTCTGGACTCTAGATTATTGTCTGGACTATAGACTATAGTCTGGACTATAGACCATAGTCTAGACTATAGATTATTGTCAGGACTATAGACTATTGTCTGCAGTATAGACCAAAATCTGGACTATAGACTACAGTCTGAACTATATACTATAGTCTGAACTATATACTATAGTCTGGACTAGAGACTATAGTCTGGACTATAGATTATTGTCTGGACTATAGACTATTGTCTGGAGTATAGACCAAAATCTGGACTATATACAATAGTCTGGACTATATACTATAGTCTGGACTATATACAATAGTCTGGACTATAAACTATAGCCTGGACTATAGACTATAGCCTGGACTATAGACTATAGTCTGGACTATAGACTATAGTCTGGACTATAGACTATAGTCTGACTATAGACTATAGTCTGGACTATAGACTATAGTCTGGACTATAGACTATAGTCTGACTATAGACTATAGCCTGGACTATAGACTATATTCTGGACTATAGACTATAGCCTGGACTATAGACTATATTCTGGACTATAGACTATAGCATGGACTACAGCCTATAGTCTGGACTATAGACTATAGCATGGACTATAAAGTAAAGTCTGGACTAAAGACTGTCTTGACTTTAGTATAGACCATATTCTTGACTATACTATAGTCTGTGCTATAGACTATAGTATATATTATAGTCTGAACTATAGACAATAGTCCGGACTTTAGACTAGAGTCTGAACTATATATTATAGTTTGAACTATAGACTATAGTCTGGACTGTAGACTATAATCTATACTATAGTCTGGACTATAGAATATAGTCTGTGCTATAGAATATAGTCTGGACTATAGACTATAGCCTGGAATATAGTCCCTAGTCTGAACAATAGACTACAGTCTGTACTATAGCTTCTGTCTATACTATAGTCTGGACTATAAATCATAGACTATATTCTGGACTATAGACTATAGTCTGGACTATAGACTATAGTGTATACTATAGTCTGTTGTAGATTATAGACTATAGTCTGAACTATAGACTAGTAGCCTATAGCCTGGACTATAGCCTATAGGCTAGACTATATTATGAACTACGGAATATAGTCTGGACTATAGACTATAATGTGGACTATAGACTATAGTAAGAACTATAGACTAAGTCTGGACTATAGAATTTTGACCTCAGTCCTTTCAAATATACTAGAGACTAGTAAATTTCTTAGACATTTCGAATAACTAATTAAAAAATTTTACTTTCCTTTCATTTCAGTGCGAGAGATTTTCGATTTATTTAAAAAGTAAAAAAGGAATTTTCTGCAGTGTCATGGACCGGTATGCTTTAGAGTAAATGTCGCATTTAGTATCAAATGCCTTAGTTTTAATACAAAGTCATTTATCTATATTAGGTTATTTTAAGGAGAAACATTTAGAAATCAATTAAATTTTAATTTTATTTAAATCTTATCTAGACAAAATTTCGTAAATATAATAAATTATTTACGTTAATACAATGAAGAGATACATTGAATTAACGTAAACAATATATCTTTGTAAATATATATTAATTTTTTATTTGTTACAAAAATATACAGGTTTTGCAAAGGACTAGTCATGGGACCTTCCCTCTAGGGAAAGTTTCGTGAAAGAAATGAAACCATTATGTTTCATTAGAGCAATGAAAATTTACATTATAAATTTTTACTTATTTTTATTATTGTTTAATATTTTGTATAAACTAAGGCGGAACCATTTATGATTATGTTTTTTCTCTAGATTATTTCGTTTAACTTTAACCTATCAAATTTAAAATTTTGGAAATTCTATGCGTTCAAAAGTAAAAGATTATCTTAGATATGTTTGTAGATTACATTTGATAATATATCTTATCTAAAAAGATAAGAAATCTGATTAGAAAACCCAACTGGCCAAAGCATTAAAGATCACACGCTTTCAAAAAACTTTATTTAAACTTCAATCTTATTAAAAAAATTACAAATCCCTGGCAGTTTTCTCGATCCAGCTACGTACAGAGGCAACATCATGGTTACCACCAGTATAAGCATTACGACCACAACCGTTACCCCAAGAAACCACTTTTAGAAAGTATTAACATCGTAAATGTCTTGATCTACTATACCAATTAGATTATCTATCAAGGTTGATAACAATGCTAATAAAAGTTAAATTTAATTCTAATAATAATAAACCGTTAGAGTACCAATTAAAATAAGTACTTTGGGAAAATTGCGAAAAAAATTTTTAAAATTCGCAATGACGAGTAATTCTTTAGAAGTTTGGTTTTTCTGTTATCATATATATAGCTAAGAACAAATAATAATTGTTAGAAAAGTTAGACCAGAATTTCACAAATAACCCTGGCGTTGTGTTGTGGTATACTTAGTATTTAAACTAAATAATGTAGAAAATTTTGCGAAAGGAAAGACGCAATTTAACATGTCTGAATCGTACAAAAAGCAGACAATTTCCCAATTCATTTTAAACTCGATTGGCAAAGGAAATTATCGTTCAATTATGATTCACTTTAGTAATATCCCAAAAAACGGAACTTATCCATTTAGGTCAAACATTTGGCTTTTGATTAAACCTTTGACTTTGAACCATTGACCTTTCACAAAATATCCCTTCCAAGAAATCTTCATGCTAAAGTGACAGTTTTCCTAAAAACTACAATCACTCCCAAAGAAACAGTTACGCGTGTTAGTTTCCTTACTTATCTGTATACTAAGTATTATAGACAAATAGGAATTCTCCATACATCTGAAATATCTATAGAAATTATACCAAATAAAAATAAATTTTCCCCAAAGCCTGATAACTTGAATTCTAGTCGTCGAATTTTTAGCTAAATGTACTTGTACTACTTATCATTAAAACAAGATTAATATACTTAATAACAGAAGTAAACGGCTTATCGCGATAACTGGGGAAATTTAACAATTATCTTTGCGAAATAAAACGCCTTTAATACAAAGAAGATTAAGAAGACAGAAATCGTTTCATATAAAAACGTTTAGAGTAAAACTAAACCCCATAGTCTTTTCTTCAACATGTTCCGTTGCACAGCTTTACTCGCCATTATCGGTTGCGCTTTTGCCGCCTCTATACCCGAAGACTTGGATGGTCGCATAGTAAATGGTGTTGATACCACCATACAGGCTCATCCCTATCAGGTTTCTTTGCAAACCAACAGTGGCTTCCATTTCTGTGGCGGCTCGATCATCAGCGAGGACATCATCGTAACAGCCGCCCATTGTATGCAAAAATACAAAGCTTATGAATTCAAAGTACGTCTTGGTTCCACTCAATACAATGCCGGTGGTGAATTGGTTGCTGTCAAGTCTTTCCGCAGTCATGAAGGTTACAATCCCAAAACTAAAGAATATGATGTTGCAGTCATTAAAATGGCCACGCCAGTGCGTGAATCCTCCAAAATCCGTTACATTAAATTGACTGAGAGGACACCTGCTACTGGTACTTTGGCTGTTATTACTGGTTGGGGTTCCAAATGTTTCCTGTTATGCACTAAAACTCCTACTGTTTTGCAAGAAGTCGAAGTTGATATTGTGGATAAAAAAGTTTGTGCTTCCAACGAGTACAAGTACGGTGACCAAATCAAAGAAACTATGTTGTGTGCTTATGGTGTGAAGAAGGATTCTTGTCAAGGTGATTCTGGTGGCCCCTTGGTGGCTCAAAGCCGTTTGGTTGGCGTGGTTTCTTGGGGTAATGGCTGTGGTCGTAACGGCTATCCTGGTGTTTACTGTGATGTTGCCTCAGTACGCAGCTGGATCGAAAAGACGGCTAGAGATTTGTAAATTTCTTGAGGAGTTTGAGTTGTTAATAAAATTTTGTAAATGTTCATAATTATACAAGACTGTTTCCTTTTTAAATGGTTCTTTTTTTCTAGTGTAATGGTTCTTTAGATTTCTAACTAAAATTATCGACAGAATGGTTACAGAAAGCTTCAGCAAGTTGTTAATTTTGATATATAAAAGTGACAGGTTTTAGAACTAAGAAATGGTCCTTCTAAGCTGATAATGATCAAATTTCCTTGAAAAGCAAAATGTCAAGAGAAGGTCACTTCACACCTTTAGATCGCCTTAAAATTTGCACTATACACTCTAGATTGCTGGTTTATCAGAGTTGGCTTTCCTATAAAGTTTTAGAACTAGAACAAGTCCCATCAATATTGCAACATCTAAACTGAAGACAAGATTTATTTAAAACTCGCCGATTTGAATCGCTTTCGATGTTAACCAGAAGCTACAACCCCATTATTTCAAAACACCCAATAAAACATTTCAATTAAACAAGTATCAAAAAAATGATTTACCTCCTTTAACAAACAAATCCAACTCTTTAAGACAATCACAATTCCTTGGCAGTCTTTTCAATCCAGCTGCGCATTAAGCTACATCACAGTAAACATCACAGTCTATAGTCTAGTCTATAGTCTAGTCTAGTCTAGTCTATAGTCTAGTCTAGTCTAGTCTATAGTCTAGTCTATAGTCTAGTCTATAGTCTATAGTCTAGTCTATAGTCTAGTCTATAGTCTAGTCTATAGTCTAGTCTATAGTGTAGTCTATAGTCTAGTCTATAGTCTAGTCTATAGTCTAGTCTATAGTCTAGTCTATAGTCTAGTCTATAGTCTAGTCTATAGTCTAGTCTATAGTCTAGTCTATAGTCTAGTCTATAGTCTAGTCTATAGTCTAGTCTATAGTCTAGTCTATAGTCTAGTCTATAGTCTAGTCTATAGTCTAGTCTATAGTCTAGTCTATAGTCTAGTCTATAGTCTAGTCTATAGTCTAGTCTATAGTCTAGTCTATAGTCTAGTCTATAGTCTAGTCTATAGTCTAGTCTATAGTCTAGTCTATAGTCTAGTCTATAGTCTAGTCTATAGTCTAGTCTATAGTCTAGTCTATAGTCTAGTCTATAGTCTAGTCTATAGTCTAGTCTATAGTCTAGTCTATAGTCTAGTCTATAGTCTAGTCTATAGTCTAGTCTATAGTCTAGTCTATAGTCTAGTCTATAGTCTAGTCTATAGTCTAGTCTATAGTCTAGTCTAGTCTAGTCTATAGTCTAGTCTATAGTCTAGTCTATAGTCTAGTCTATAGTCTAGTCTATAGTCTAGTCTATAGTCTAGTCTATAGTCTAGTCTATAGTCTAGTCTATAGTCTAGTCTATAGTCTAGTCTATAGTCTAGTCTATAGTCTAGTCTATAGTCTAGTCTATAGTCTAGTCTATAGTCTAGTCTATAGTCTAGTCTATAGTCTAGTCTATAGTCTAGTCTATAGTCTAGTCTATAGTCTAGTCTATAGTCTAGTCTATAGTCTAGTCTATAGTCTAGTCTATAGTCTAGTCTATAGTCTAGTCTATAGTCTAGTCTATAGTCTAGTCTATAGTCTAGTCTATAGTCTAGTCTATAGTCTAGTCTATAGTCTAGTCTATAGTCTAGTCTATAGTCTAGTCTATAGTCTAGTCTATAGTCTAGTCTATAGTCTATAGTCTAGTCTATAGTCTAGTCTATAGTCTAGTCTATAGTCTAGTCTATAGTCTAGTCTATTAGTCTAGTCTATAGTCTAGTCTATAGTCTAGTCTATAGTCTAGTCTATAGTCTAGTCTATAGTCTAGTCTAGTCTAGTCTATTGCCTATTTAATATAGTCTAGTCTATATTGAAACATATAACAGATGTTAAAAGTGGGTACAAATGTCGCTCGTGACCAAAACATTCCAGGCAACATACCCCTCTTATTATACCCTCCACCACCATCAGTGGTGATAGAGGGTATATATAACTTTGTCATTCCGTGTGTAACACCAAGAAATATTCATCTGAGACCCAACAAAGTACATATATTCTGGGTCCTTATCAAATTCTGAGTCGATTTAGCTATGTCCGTATGTCCGTCTGTCTGTGTAAAACTCGCTCACGATAAAACGAAGCAATAGAGTTTAATCAAATTCACCCAAAATGTTCTTCATTTTCCTAAGTTGTTTGGTATTGAAAATGGGCAAAATCGGTTCACACCGGGAAAAGTTATGAATCAAAATTTAAAACAACCTCGAAAAAAATAAGAATTTTTTTTAACATAAAAGTAGCTGGTGGAGGGTATTTAAGATTCGGCTCAGCCGAATATAGCACTCTAACTTGCTTATAATGAAAACATTATTTATTAAAAAGAACTACTTAAATATTCCAGATATAATATTATCGTAAAATCTTAACCCATTAACTTCTATAAACACAACAACTATTCGAAAATTCACCCCAGTACGTAACAAATATTACAAGCATAAACTTCATAAAAAGAAATTAATTTATAATGGATTTAATGAAAGAGTTTTACAAGAAATTTTGTCAATATTACCCTGTTATTATTGGAGCAACGTCATATCTATATGAAGAAAATTCGAACACATATCATCGAACCATATTAACACGTCTTATTGCTGGACTATCAAATATTTTTTGTTTATTTCTGCTGGTATATTTTGGCCATAAGAGCTTGGAAATGTTTGAAACTGCACCACATTTACATCCACTTATAAAAACTGTTACCCATCTAAATCTGATACTGCGCGTTGTAGCAGTATTTTATACAGTACTTCACAGGAAGTGGCGAGAAATTAAAGATATTCAACTGAAGGTTCAATTAAAAAAACTTAAATGGAAATATTACAAAAAATATTATCGCAACAGAAAAATCGATAAACGATTTAAGCAAATTCGCTATATAAAATATGCCATCTTATTATACATGCATATCATTTCTTTTGGCATTGCATCGCGCATATCATTAGAAACTTTGAAGTGGTTGCGCTGGATACTGGTGATATGTAATGCCACTATTATGAATATGATGGTTGTAGTAATGTTTGGTTTTTTCGAAATGCTTTGGAACATTTGTCGTCTACTGCAACATCTTAACTATCATTTAGACAGTATTAACCAGAAACTGGGAAAGCCACCCCCGGATCACAAACTATTGGGTCATGAAATTCAAACAATTTTAGAAACACATGCAGAATTAGGCGATATTTTAAAGCAATTGCTAAAAGTCTTTCAATTTCAATTGTTAACAAGTCGTTTATATTCCACATTTTGTTTTATTATTGTTGCTTATTTTGGTTACGTATTCATCTTTCATTATCAAATTGATCAAATGTATTTAATACTGGGTGGTATTTCTTATTTGATTTTTTCTATAGACTTTTATATAACAGATTTAATGTGCGACATGATTGGCGAGAGTTTTAAACAATTAATAGTGTTGCTACAAATGTTCAATGAAAAGACAGCGCTCGACGAAGAGGTAATATATTACAAAATTAAAATTTTATTTAAAATACTTTTTCACGATTACAGACTATAGGAAGCACTATGGACTATAGTCAGGATTAGAGACAGATATCTGGACCACAGATTATAGAACTATAGACTATAGTCTGTACTATAGATTATAGTCTGGACTATAGGCTAGAGTCTGGACGAATTTAGTCTGAACTATAGACTAGTCTGGACTATAGACTGTAGTCTGGACTAGTCTATAGTTCAGACTATAGACTATAGTCTGGACTATAGCCTATAGTCTGGACTATAGACTATAGTCTGGACTATAGACTATAGTTCAGACTATAGACTATAGTCTGGACTATAGCCTATAGTCTGGACTATAGACTATAGTCTGGACTATAGACTATAGTCTGGACTATAGACTATAGTCTGGACTATAGACTATAGTCTGGACTATAGACTATAGTCTGGACTATAGACTGTAGTCTGGACTATAGACTATAGTCTGGACTATAGACTATAGTCTGGACTATAGACTATTGTCTGGACTATAGACTATAGTCTGGACTATAGACTATAGTCTGGACTATAGACTATAGTCTGGACTATAGACTATAGTCTGGACTATAGACTATAGTCTGGACTATAGACTATAGTCTGGACTATAGACTATAATCTGGACTATAGACTAGTCTGGACTATAGACTATAGTCTGGACTATAGACTATAGTCTGGACTATAGACTATAGTCTGGACTATAAACTATAGTCTGGACTATAGACTATAGTCTGGAATATAGACTATAGTCTAAACTATAAACTATAGTCTGGACTATAGACTATAGTCTGGACTATAAACTATAGTCTGGACTATAGACTATAGTCTGGACTATAGACTATAGTCTGGACTATAGACTATAGTCTGGACTATAGACTATAGTCTGGACTATAGACTATAGTCTGGATTATAGGCTAGAGTCTAGACGAATTTAGTAGACTGAACTATAGACTACTGTCTGAACTAAAGATTGTATTATGGACTATATATTACAGTCTGGACTACAGACTATAGTCTGGACTGTAGACTAATGTCTAAAATATGGACTTTAGTCAGGACTTAATTAGACCTTAGTCTCGAGTAATTTGTACTTTTTTTTTCATTACAGTGTGAACGATTTGCGATTTTTTTAACCAGTAAAAAAGAAATTTTCTGTGGTGGCATGGACCGATCGGCATGGTTTAGAGTAATGTCACAATTAGTATCAAACGCCTTAGTTTTAATACAAAGTCATATATCTATTATACGTTTTTTTAAGAAAAATCATTTAGAAATCGATTGAAATTTTAGACAATAAGTAAGTTAAAAATGCATTGCGAAGTTAAAAATATTATTTCTAGAATTCGGTTAAGTCGTTAGTCCCCTAGCAAATGTACTAATGTATTAAAATTATTTTGTTTAAATAAATTGTTACAAATTTCTGACAGGGTTATTTGTGAAAATCTAGTCTAACTTTTCTAATTATCTATAATTGTTCTTAGCTATTTGATAACAGAAAAACCAAAGTATTTTAAACTTCTAAAGAATTACACGTCATTGGTATTTTGCAAAACTTTTTCGCAATTTTCCCAAAGTACTTATTGGTAATCTAATGGTTAATTATTAATAGAATAATGTTTTACTTTCATTATTTTTGTAATCAACCTTGATAGATAATCTAATTGGTATAGTAAAGCAAGACATTTATAAGACAACTAGCCTTATCTTAAAAATAAACTGGAATTTTTTTAAATGTATAGTTTGCCATTAATTAGTACCCTTAAGATACAGAACATTGCAATCGTTTCATATAAAAACCTTGAGCGTTAAAATTATTCCCATAGTCTTTCCTACAACATGTTCCGCTTCATAGTCTTATTCGCTTTAATCGGTTGTGCCTTCGCTGCCTCTATACCCGAAGAATTGGATGGTCGCATAGTAAATGGTGTTGATACCACTATACAGGCTCATCCCTATCAGGTGTCTTTGCAAACCAATAGTGGTTTCCATTTCTGTGGCGCTTCCATCATCAGCGAGGACATTATTGTAACAGCCGCCCATTGTATGCAAAAATACAAAGCTCATGAGTTTAAAGTACGTCTTGGTTCTACTGCTTACAATACTGGAGGTGAATTGGTTGCTGTCAAGTCATTCCGCAGTCATGAAGGTTACAATCCCAAAACTAAAGAGTACGATGTAGCTGTCATTAAAATGGCCACGCCTGTACGTGAATCCTCCAAAATCCGTTATATTAAATTAGCCGACAAGACACCTGCTACTGGCACTACGGCTGTTGTTACTGGTTGGGGTTCCAAATGTTTCCTGCTATGCACTAAAGCTCCTACCGTTTTACAAGAAGTCGAAGTTGATATTGTGGATAGAAATGTTTGTGCTTCCAGTGAATATAAATATGGTGATCAAATCAAGGAAACTATGTTGTGTGCTTATGCTCTCAAAAAGGATGCTTGCCAAGGTGATTCTGGTGGCCCATTGGTGGCTCAAAATAAATTGGTTGGTGTGGTTTCCTGGGGTAATGGTTGTGGACGTATTGCTTATCCTGGTGTTTACTGTGATGTTGCCTCTGTACGCAGCTGGATCGAAAAGACCGCTAGAGATTTATAAATTTCTTGATGATTTTGTGTTTTAAATAAATTTACTTTAATGTCCAGAATTAAAATATGTTGTGTTTTCATTTTAAATATTCAATACCTTCACTAATAATGGAACCACCACAGAAGTGCCCACCCGCATCGAGTAGAGTGCCGGCCAAAGCACTAGTGACCCAAGAGAATAGAGTTACAAAACGCAACATGTTATTAATGAAGACTATATAATTAGTTTCTAAATTTCAGACATTGTGTCGTGACCACTTCAAGTTTTTATCTTTATCTTAATTGCCATAGTTTTTTACCAACAATAACTGTAACATGTCTACTATTTTCATAAGCTTTATAAGCCAGAGGTATTAATTTATATCGAAGCATTATAACACGTCTTTCTTTGATTTCTGCGATAGTATTAATTTGTCTCACATTAGTTATAATAAATTTTAAATTAAAAAATAATTCCAACAAATTTGTAATATTTCTATTAAGTACACTGTAGGAAATTTATATACTTATCTATATTTAGTATATAGTCTATTCTAGAGTCTAGTGAATAGTCAAGTCTATAGTCTAGTCCATATTCTAATAACTATCTAACAAAATGTTAATAATTTGTTATTAAAATGTTTAAAAAATAAGAAAACCATCTGCGGTTTAAAAACATGTACCGTTTAAAGACCAATATTCAGACATGTTGAACGCTTATGATCTTCGCTTTGATTACCTCTAATTTTTACATATTGTTTAAGTACAAAACTCAGTACATCATAATATCGGGATAGACAGATTTCAGAACGTAATAGTACAGTCTATAGTCTACTCCATAGTCAAGTCTATAGTCTAGTCTGTAGAATAGCCTAAAGTTTAGTCAATAGCCTAGTCTATAGTCTACATTCTTTTCAATATCTGGTAGGTTCTCCAGTAATTTTTCTTACAATTTGCAAACTTTAAATTTTACAATCAAAAGAAAACACTTAGAGTAATTAAAATTAAACAAATTTTATTTTAAAAAAGAGGTAAAAAAAATAAATTCAGCCTATTAAAGAAATTACAATCTTCTGCCGGTTTCCAAAATCCAGTTGCGGACAGTAGCAACATCGCAGTAAACACCGGGATAAGCAGCAAGAGCACAACCTCTACCCCAGGAAACAACACCAACCAATTCATTGTGGGCTACCAATGGGCCACCGGAATCACCTTGGCAAGCATCCTTTCTCAGAGCAGCAGCGCACAACATAGTTTCCTTGATTTCATCACCGTACTTGTATTTGCGGGAAGCGCAAAGTTCAGCATCAATAATATCTACCTCAACTTCTTGCAAAATCTTGGGAGCTCCACTGCAACCGGCGCACAAGGCACCCCAACCAGTAACAACAGACTTAGTGCCAGTAACGGGAGTTCTCTCAGACAATTTAACATAACGGATTTTGGAAGATTCACGTACAGGTGTGGCTAGCTTGATGACAGCAACATCGTAAACCATGGTATCGGGATTGTAAAGTTCATGGTATTTGAAAGCTTTGACGGCAACCAAAACACCACCCTGGTTGTATTCAGTAGAACCGAGACGTACTTTGAATTGGCTAGCTTTGTATCTTTGCATACAGTGGGCAGCTGTAACAACAACATCTTCGCTGATGATGGAACCACCACAGAAATGGAAACCGCGGTTGGTTTGCAACGACACTTGATAGGGATGGGCCTGAATGGTGGTATCAACACCATTCACTATGCGGCCATCCAAATCACCGGGAAGTATGCCGGCAAAAGCACAGCTGACTACAGCCAATAAAGTAACGAAACGGAACATGTTGTGAGTAGGACTACATGGTTTAGTTTCAAGTTCAAAGTTTTTATATGTTTAGGTCTGCAAACATTGTATGATTATTAATTTCTTATAATCTTAAAGTACTTAAACAATTATTAAGATAAGATTTAGTCATTAGTTTTGGTTTTTCCTTTTAATTAAACAAATGAATTATCAAAACAATTTCAAGATTTTATCGAAGGGTCTATCATTAGTTCCAACTTAATCTAATAGCAAATGTAAAGTTGGGATAGTTAAGAAAGTGGAATATCTAACAAAATTTTAATAATTTGTTATTAAAATGTTTAAAAGATGTATGTCATAATATCGGTATAGACAGATTTCAGAACGTAATTCCCGAGAATTATGAAATTCTGGGAATAAGAATAGTTTTCATTTGTCGAAGGAAGAGTTCAAGTGAAAAACTGTTTAAGATGTTACTTACATCACTTATAGTCGATGGAATACAACTCTCATATATGGGCGGAAGCGTTGAAGACTATTGTTAAGCTACTCGATCGACTAGGCAGTAGGATATACAACTATAGCACAGTGGCAATGTGGGATGTATTTCACTGTTCAATCGATATTACAAAGTCGAGTGTTTCCCTGATATTAGGGAACTTGTTCCCTGCCTAACACACGACTTTTATCAAGAACACATCTAATTACGGTTCATTAGACTGGAATATCGCACAACTCGTTTTAGGGAAAATTCACTATTCAGCCGTACTGCAGAATTTTCACTCCCTCTATTCTCCCTCGCACAACCTAATTTACTAGTTTAAACACAATTCACTGTGTGAATTGCGGTCATCCCCTGATGATCCAAGAAAAAAGGCTCATACAACGAGCCACCTTGCAAGATCGATTTTAAACTTATGGCACAGGGTATATAAGATTCGGTATTGCCGCATATCACAATCATACTTGTTATTTTTATAAATTGTAAGAGAATATTGTTATTGAAATTTTGCTAGATTTTCTGAATTTCATAAGAATTTAAATTTAGATTTATTATTAGATCGTCTGCTAGATAAAATCATCAAACTGTTTTGATATTTTTAATTATTATTTTAAATATTATTTAAGTTAAAGAAATGGAAAAATCAAAAACTGTTTATGTTAAACAAACGCCAAGCACTAACCCTTATCTCAATCAAAGACTACGTACTTTAAGATTATAAGAAATGAATAATCGTACTATGTTTGTGGAGCTAAACATATAAAAACTTTCAACTTGAAACTAAAACCATATAATCTTTCTCTTAACATGTTCCGTTTCATTACTTTATTGGCTGTAGTCAGCTGTGCTTTTGCCGGCATTCTTCCCGGTGATTTGGATGGCCGCATAGTGAATGGTGTTGATACCACCATTCAGGCCCATCCCTATCAAGTGTCTTTGCAAACCAACAGTGGTTTCCATTTCTGTGGTGGTTCCATCATCAGTGAAGATGTTGTTGTTACAGCTGCTCATTGTATGCAAAGATACAAAGCTAGCCAATTCAAAGTACGTCTCGGTTCCACCGAATACAATCAAGGTGGTGTTTTGGTAGCCGTCAAAGCTTTCAAATACCATGAACTTTACAATCCCGATACCATGGTTTACGATGTCGCTGTCATCAAACTAGCTGCCCCTGTACGTGAATCTTCCAAAATCCGTTATGTCAAATTGTCTGAGAAGACTCCCGCTACTGGCACTACTGCTGCTGTTACTGGCTGGGGTGCCTTGTGCGCCGGTTGCAGTGGAGCTCCCAAGATTTTGCAAGAAGTTGAGGTTGATATTATTGATGCTGAACTTTGCGCTTCCCGCAAATACAAGTACGGTAAGGAAATCAAGGAAACTATGTTGTGCGCTGCTGCTTTGAAAAAGGATGCTTGCCAAGGTGATTCCGGTGGCCCATTGGTAGCCCACAATGAATTGGTTGGTGTTGTTTCCTGGGGTAGAGGTTGCGCTGTTGCTGCTTATCCCGGTGTCTACTGTGATGTTGCTACTGTCCGCAGCTGGATTGTGGAAACTGGCAGAAGATTGTAAATTATTTAAAGATTTGAGTATTTTTTTTTAGTTTTTAATAAAAAGTTTAAAAATTAAAGTTTGAAGAGTTTTCTTTATATTCTAATATTTTGTTATAAATAAGGGTGATCTCCAAATGCAGTTAGGGTATGGGTTTGTTACAGAAATATCTTTTTAAATGTTTACCACGAAAGTTTTGGCACAAGTAAATACAAGTCGTCGGAAATACCATTAATTTCAGGTTCCATGTTACTCTGATGCTCTTTTAACGTTATTAGCATTTTGGCATAGACCAGCGATTAAATGCAGTCTCAAAGAAAAAGTTTAAAAAGGTTAAATCAAAAGTCCGTCTTTATTAGTGGTCAACTAAATTTGGCATAACGAGAAATTTAATAACAAACTTCAGTAAGTTGAAATAGTTCCAAAACCATGTATCTTTTTATTATTAAGTAACATTGAACTTCAAATCCATTTACACTCCTACTCAAGAAATGTCTTGACACACAAAAAAAAGTTCAAAGACGTTTGACTTCGACTATTCCAGAAGTGAAAGTTATATCAATAGTAAGAATAACAAAAATGAGATTCATCCTAAATAATCTTTAAAATTAAACATATAAAAGTGGATCTGTAAGCTGTTATGTCTGTCATAAGATCTTTCGCATTCAATAGGCCTCAGTAATGTCAATGTCTTTCAAAGAACTTAAAAATTAGGAAATTTAGGAAAGTTCACATAAGAGATAATCTATCAAAACCTTAAAAACTGATGGCAGTTTAAATTAACGCATGAATAGTTTTCTTTTCTCAAATTTCAAACTATACAATGCTTTAAAATAAAACGCCCTTAAAACTTTCATTAAAATAATTTTTATTGAAACCATAAAATTCAATTCATTAACTAATTTACAATCTATTGGCAGTATTTACAATCCAGCTGCGGACAGTAGCAACATCACAGTAAACACCAGGATAACCGGCACGGGCACAACCTCTACCCCAGGAAACAACACCAACCAATTTATTGTGGGCTACCAATGGGCCACCAGAATCTCCCTGGCAAGCATCCTTCTTAACAACATAAGCACACATCATAGTTCCTTGATTTCATCACCGTACTTACATTGACTGGAAGAGCAGAGTTCAGCATCAACAATATCAACTTCAACTTCTTGCAAAATTTTGGGAGCAGTTTGACAGAACAAATGGCATTTTGAACCCCAACCAGTAACAACAGCGGTGGTGTCAGTAGC